ATTCTATAGTTGCCTAAGTCATATTAACTTCAAAATTGCTCCAAAAAAACCTGATAACCTGACAGCTCAACCACAGTGTGTGGTTTGTTGCTTGTTTAATTTTAAACCATGCTTTTCAGTGACATCCGTTCAGACTTGAAACCAGTCACTTGCTGACCTTGATTCTTTGAGTAGAGATGGAGTCAGCATTACCAAAAGGAAGGCCACCAGTAAAACAAATTTGCTAATGCGTAGATATGTATTTCTAAGTTTATCTGTTTGGAAAAAAAATGGAAAGTTTTCTGACCCACTTTAAATCAGTGTTTCAGTAAAAGATTAGTGAGAAATTCAGTTAAGGAAGAGGATTTCTTTCCATGAGGTTAACATTTATTGCTTAAAGGAGAAACTGACATGCTCATATGACCTGTTTGATGATAGACCTCAGGGATCAGGCAAATGCTGATGGAGCATGGTGGTTCTGAGATGACGTGATGTGATCCATCTTCCGGCCTCTCACTCAGCTTCCACACACCAGCTCCATGCTCTGAGTTCCCCAGAGAGAAGGTGTTCAGAGCAAGCCCCTTTTGCCCAAGTGACACAGTATTCACCCTATTTGGAACTCACCAAAGATGGAAGGCTTTTTAATCAGACACCTCGCATGGATAACGTAATGGTTGTTTGATGTTATTTTGGCCATAAAATTTTGCTTTATTTTTTTAAAGATGTGCAAACAGTTTTGTGATCAGATTCCATCAGATGAAAAATAGCCTGACTTACACTAAATAGGCAAGATATCAAAAACCAGTAGTAGGATAAAGTAGCTACTCAAAGGAGCTGTTCACAGCTGGTTTCCATCAGAGAAGACCACGTACCAGCATTAGAACAACCAGGGGTGAAGAAACAGAATCCAAATGTTGAGAAACAGTTCCGGGTCCAATCTCCCAGTCCATACCAGCACATTTGCAAACTCCCTATGAAATGTCCTTGTTGCTAATAATGCCTTAAACCCATCATGTCATGTGAGGTCCGTAGTTTCTTCCTGTATCCATCTCTGGAATGTTCCCATCTATCAGTTTGTCAGTCAGAAGCGTTGCTGTGAGGAACACATAACATTGTTACCCAGGAAAGCAGCAATGATACTCTTAGGTTGATTCTGAGATTAAATGTATACTTAATAGTCGTGTTAATTTCTTATGCATTAAATTCTGGTTCTTATGAGACAGTATTTTCAATCTCAGAGATAAACCTCTAGTAGAAAACAGTACTGATATCTGCAAGTTGGGAGTAGATGATCTATCCTGGTAAACTAGGTCTAAATCTGCATCTCAATTAAATCCTGACTTTCCCAACTCCCCCAAGACCTTCCAAGTGGCCACAATCACAAATATTCTCCATGCTTAACATCACCATCCAACTGTTCATGAGAAAAGACAAACTGTGATGGGGAAGGGGAAAGGAAGAAAGGGAAAAATGTATGTATACATATGATAGTTAAGATAGTTATAGAGCTAGTTTCTCTCAGTTCATTCAAAGGAAAGTTTTATGCTAATATTGTGTAGAAAAGGTGTCATGCCTGTATCTTCTACTCTAAATAACTACTATGAAGACTATTGTAACCATCCAACTAACCTGTTTTGAAACTCAGTTTCATTGTTATGGTTATCTTTTTTTCTCTCTAAACTACAAACAAAACATCATGGCTTCCTTGGGAGTGTCTGTTTGACATGGTTCTTTGTGTGGGAACCCATTTTCAAAGCATCAGCACCGGGGTTTAAAACCCAAGAGAATTCTGCCGAGTTATCCATTACCCCATCAGATCAGCACAGATGGATTCTATCTGGTGCACAGCAGTAAACAACATATCACAGCACTCACCTCTTCAAATAATTGTTTTTTAATTACAGCACACATTAATTATTGACAATGACATCATGCCTCTGTTATGCAGAGACCACTGTTATTTTTTAAATTTATTCTCAAATTGCTTTGAGTTGTTCTTCCTTGTGCTTTTTTATTAGTAAGTGTTTGTAATACATAGTGATTACATTCATTGTGGGGAGTTCTTTTTTTTTAAAGAAAGTCTACAGAATAGAATTTAATAGCACAGTGGTCTCTCAGAGTAACCTTACCACTTCAGCAATAAATAAAAATCACCTTTTGTATTTATTTCATATTTTTAGCAATGTGTACATTTCCAACTCACTAAACAAAAGACTCCACAATACTTTCTCCTGGGCACTAAAGTAAGAATTTTTCTACCATCCTTTGTATCATTCTTTATTATCAGTAGGAAAGAATGCTATTTAATGGCCTAATAATTTCAAAGAGCCTTGAAACTTATTTCCCTGAATCAATAAGCCCACAAACAGTTCAGTGCTATCATCCCCTCCAATGAGTATTTGGGGCTACAAAAGCCTCCCGGTCCCCTGTTCTGCACTTTCTGTCCCCACCCCCAGTGCAGACACCTAGGCTGCAGCTTGCAGCTCCTCGCTGCTTGTGCTCACCTGCTTCCAGCCCTCAGGACAGCAAGAACAGTAACCCTGAAGATAACCGCTGAACAGAATTACTGCAAAGGTACATCTCCAACTTACCGCTCCTATTTATCCTCTATCATTTTCTTTCTCCAAATGTCACCGACAATCAAGAACTACTTGGTTAAAAAACAAAAAAAAAACTCACTTTCTAAAGCAGAAAACTAAACCTCAAAAAGATTAAGGAAGACCCAGAGGTGCAGAGCCACACGCAAAGGTGTCCTCTTGCACATGTTCTAGGCACCCTAATCCTCGGTCCAGCATTCCTTCCACATTGAAAGACAGGTCCAAGCCTGAGCCAGCCCCCTCTGCAGACAAACAAAGGAAGAGCCTTGGCCCCTCCGCACACCCTCTTTGTGCTTCTCATTGCTCTTCCAGTTGGAAGAATGAAGGCCTCCAAGCTTAGCTTGAGCTAAGCCCATGGCTGAGAAATCGGCCCCAACTTCAACCACGACATCACAATAATCATTTTTACACTGTTGTGAATGTGCTTCTTGTTTCTCCACCCTTATTTCAAAACAGAAATTTTTTTTATTTCAAAACAGAAATGCAACACATGCAAACATTTCAAAGGACAGCACACCGGCTCAATTGTGTTGCCATGGGAAACAGCACTGGGGAGAATGGCTAGAGTCAGTTTTTCCCATCACCATCAGTCAAAAGAATTGATCGCAGGAACATTCTTCTCCATCTCATCATTGCCAAAAGCAGCAAGAAGGAACCTCCACTCTAGGGTGTTCAGAACAGGACATGACTTGACGTACTACCTTCAAAAGCATCAGATTAGAGAGCCAAGGTATTAGAGCACTTACCAGGGTCATTGGGATGCAGCTGGATTATAAAAAGAAACAAGGTTCCAAACTTCTGAAATAGCACTGTGCATACTGTAAGTCATTCAAAATATTGAGCACTTACTATTGACTACACATGAAGCCAAGTGATACGAAGACTAATACAGTTGCTCCCTGTGTTCAAGAGGCTCATGGTTTCCTGAAAAAGTCAATGTCAAGAGACATCTGACACTGTGAAATGATAGGAAACCACTGAAGAGTAAAGGGCAACTGGGATGCGGGAAAAGAGAAGGGAAAAAAGGAGAAATTTTGTATGTATGTATATACAGGATGGTTAACATGGTTGTTCTTCTGTCTTCTATTTCTATGCTGAAAGAAACTGTCAGTGAGTCTTTGGTTGACCAGTGTTGCATGTCTATATCTGTTTTCATGAGAAGCCACTTTGAAGATATCAGTATGTAATACAACAACCATTGTTAATTCCCTACCACTTTGTTTGTAACTCTGTATTGTCTGTACTGTGCTTGTGATATGTTGTAAAATGTTGTATGTCTGTTAATGTTTCCCCCCTTTATCTTTAAAATAATAATAATAATAATAATAATAATAAAAGAAACATCTGAATAACCAGCCAGGTGTCAGAGAACTCGGAAGCTACATGTGAAGACCCCGTGTTGTGTACAGGGCTACATTTGACACCATGGGAGTTATAGAAAAGATGACATGGAGCCATCCAAACCTGAATCCACTGGGGCCTCCCCCCTATCTTTATCATCTATGTCCTGTTTTTCTGTTTTTGAGGCGAAACTGTCCTCAAGGACCTGAAGCCAAAGGTCATGTCACTGACAGAGCAGAAAGACAGAAAGGTATTTCTTTCTCTTTCCTTCTTGTTCCCCCTTAATTCTCTTCCTTCCTGTCGTATTACGCTCTACTCCCTGCTGCCTCATTTTCTCTACCTCCATCACCTCTCCTTAGTCTCCATCTCCATGTTCAATTCTTTCCCCACTTTGTCCAGCCACTTTCCCTGTACTTTAACGTCCATCTCACTCCTCCTTAAAGGATTTCATGAGCTTGAACCACAAAACAGCACCTACCGGGCTGGGCCTATAGGTCAGAAGTAGAATACTGGCCTGGTATGTGAGAGGTCCTAGGTTTGATCCCCAGTGCTGAAAGAGATACAGCAGCTGCTGGACATGCCTAAATAGTAAACCTCATGTCTCTTCAGTGTCTTTATTACTTCTTTGACCTGAGTAGACATACAACCAAACAGTCTTTAAACTTAGTTAAATATAATGTATCCTATCATTAATTATCTATTTTATTTAGTTTGTTTATAGGGTAGTGCCCTGTAAGTAGTTTCTGTAGTTGTCTTCACAATTTCTGGCCAGAGACTCTGGTGAGGCAAGCAGAGCTCAAGTGGAAAATCAAGGCACATGGCACCAGAAGAACTCTATATTATGGCAAGTATTTCTTTCCATAAGAGCCACCAAAAGGGAGCATAGCTCTACCCCAGCTTCAGGTATGCCCTTCAATATAAATACTGACTCTTAGTAAAGCATCCTTGCTCAGCTTCCAGTGAACACTAGCACTTGGATGTGCAGGAGAAGGATATAGTCTCAGGAAACATGAACTTCCGCCTTCCCACCTGCCTTCAGAGCAGACATCCCTCGTCATGAAGCGGTGGTTCTTCTCTGACCTCATTCGGGGATGGAACTTTTAATCAAAACAGTGTCACCCCTGAACCCACTGCTACACGCCAACGTAAGTGACCACAATAGGAGCAACGGCCTATAAAAAGACAGAAGGTAATGCTGCAGTTTGTCCACCTCACCGCAGAGGCAGCGCACCCAGCACTGCTTGATCAGGAAAAGCAGCAATGTCTCCTGGGAGGCCTTCCTCGGTGGTGAGTCCTGCACTGATGTGCTATGCTTATACACTCGGGCCGGATTGTATCTGTGGCCAGCGGCATGAAATGCTGGTCTCTGTGGAAATCCATGAATACTATCTATGTAGAATAGGAAATGAAACATTTGGTAGATGCTTAAATCATTGGGCAACATTTTCAAGAACTGATACACATCAGTTTGAAAGGTGAGATTAAAACTGAAAGATTGCTATACTGGGGCTAAACCACATAAGAAGAGTCTCATGATGCTGTGCACTAAAAAAAAGAGCAGTTATTGACAATCTGTTTTCCTAAGTTCAAAGTATTTAATGTAATTCTCCCACGGCACTTTTCTTTAATTTGTACTAAAATGGGTTGCTATACTTGAAGGGCCTGAAAGCTGTGGAAACAAACTCTGTTTCCATTATATTTACACCATAATCTTAGTACATCAGAATTATTTATTTAGATATACGGTTAACTGTGCTTTAAAATGAATGGGCTTTGTAAAATTTTTAATTTAAAATGCAATTTTACTACAGAATCAATGCACTATGAATTCAGAAAATATAAGGGAGAGCTAGTTCTCAGTTGTATGTTGGGCCTGTGGTGCAAACAGCATTTCTAACATGAATACTGACACCTATGGATTTTCCACAGCCCTTTCTTCCAAGGGCTTCAAACAGGGCTTCATAGAAGGGTAGGATTAAGAACAAGGGTGCAGAAAGATATTTCCTCCTAGAAAACCAAGGGCATCAGTTCTCCCGTTGACCTGACAGTGATGCATGTACTTTGGATGGCTGACATGGTGTGGCTTGACATTTTACTGAAATTACTGCCAACCCTGTACAACATATTTTTCCTAAGTCAAAAGAAAGATGTTGAAAATGGGTACTATTTCACAATTTTCACATGATTTGGTTCATCTAGTAGTTTTTCATTTAACTTATCTGAAAATTTAGTATAGTTTTTCTCAGAATGTAATGTTTCTTATGATTAGCAATCAATCATCAAAATAAATTCTTCAGCAAAAATCGCAGTCTCCCTTCTCTAACCCAGTCTCCCTTCTCTCTCCTCTTTACCAAGCAGTTACCGTCACTACTGCTGCTGAGTCTAGTGGCTACAGTGAAGGCAGGAATTCCAGTCCCACGAAATCCAGGGTGTACAACTCCTACGGAGGGCAAGAATTACCTCCAGAATGTCAAGGTCAACCTGAGCATCCTTAATCCCCTTACCCCAAATGTGAATTCCAGGAGGTCTTCAGACTACTACAAACGATCCACCTCACCTTGGACTCTCCGGTACGTAAACTTCTCAAATAAAATCTCTATGTTCTTCACCTCTCCTTTGCATATCCTGCCAGTTAAGTCACCCTGACCATGATCTTACTCAGAAACCCGCCAACCTGGAAGGGTAATTGTGTAGAGCCGTGATTCTCAAACTTTCATTGTACAGACTGCTTTCAACACAGCACACACCACCACACCTCCTAACACTTTTCCTAACACTTTTCCTGCGAGAGCTCATGCTCACTGACCCCAAACATTAATGCAAATTAGTAGTAATCATATTCAAATATCTATGTTGAATAAGAAGTATATATCTATACTTGACATGTCCTTACTGTTCCCAATATTTAGACCCCTTTAAGGATTTGATAAAAAATGAACTTTGATCATTTGACCTTATGCAAATAAGCCTCAGTTATAAGAAACATCCAGACTTACCTGCCTACAAGATTTTTTTGCCTCATCCCAATAAATCAAAAGTCAAAGCAAATCATTTATTCAACTGGAGGGGAAAGGAAAGAGGAGGGAATAGAGGGACTTACGCTTTGGTTTCTAGCCTTTTACATCCCTCTCAGCTGTATCTCATGAAAATATTTTCGGATTAAAACTCTGATGGAATCCCGCTGCCCAAGATAAATTTCATCAGATCAAACAGACAATTACAGATCTTATTCCTACATCATTCCAAGTCTACTCTTCCTTTGGGTTTTTTTTTTTTTCTTAGTCAAATGTACCCTAAAATTTTATCTTTTGTGTCACATTTAAATCCTTTCTGTGGTCTAACTTATTTTTTCATTCTTCAAAGAAAGTGAATGGGGAAATGATCATGCCTTCTTTTCTATGATAATCTGCTTGAAAATACAAGTTTGGGCGCTGGAAGTGCATCCCAGTGGTACAGTGTGTGTCTCACATGCACAAGGCAAATTTGATCACTGGCACTGCAATTAATTACTTTTTTTCAATTGAATTTTTTCAATTCAAGTGTTTTCCAAAGTTCTTCAGACTATAATTGTGTAGAAATTTTGCAGCACCTATGATTTGTCACCCAGAGAATTCTCCTCCTTTTCAGTACTCGTGTTGGACTCGCTTTCTACTTCACCTGGAATTCACTTTCCCCCCTGCTTTTGTCCCCTGCAGCCGCAACGAGGACCCTGAGAGATACCCCTCTGTGATCTGGGAGGCCGAATGCCGCTACTCAGGCTGCATCAACGCGGACGGCAAAGAGAACCACCTCATGAGCTCGGTCCCCATCCAGCAAGAGACCCTGGTCCTGCGGAGGGAACCCCAGAACTGCCCGCTGTCCTTCCGCCTGGAGAAGATGAGGGTCACTGTGGGTTGCACCTGTGTCTCCCCTGTCGTCCACCACGTGGGTTGAGAGTTCTGGTCCTGCCCGCCAGAAGCAGTGAGGCTTTCTGTGCAGCAGAGCCAGGGCTCAAGAACCCTTGTCCTCCTAAGACCCAGCCCCACTTGAGACCAAACTCGCTAGAGTTCTTAAAACAGCTCATCCTATTGAGATTGGGGAAGTAACACCGTTCCAAGGTGGGGTCGGGATCGCTGCCCTCTCTCACCAGGGAGGAAGGTTGATTTTGCTTCTTGTTTGCTTATCTCACTGCTTTAAGTTATTTATGTATTTAATTTGTCCTGAGATTGCTTTGGGGCATAAGATTTCATTTTAATGAGTTACCTGTCTTGGAAATTTTATTATTTAAAAAGTAAAATGTATTTATATGAGCTATTTATGAATCTGTTTCCTAAGTCTTTAGAGAAAGGTGAGAGTTCCATCTGGAGAAATCCTACATAGGATGAAGTGGCAACAGGAAGGTTGTGAGCTTTCACATGTATGAGTATGCGATTTCTTCCTTCTGCCTCTTAGAAGCACATGATGTGACTGAAAAGGGAGAAGGATTAAGCCTAATTTCATATTTATTAATTTAAACTTTTAAATTATTGAGGTTTCATAGAAGGGATGAAAGGGAGGGCAAGTCTGACTCTGCTCTGTTAACCCTTGTAACGCAATCACTCTGTGATAATAAACGTTGGGAGGAAAATTTGTTTCCTGACTCTTTCTCATTAAAAGCACACTTGGTTCTTCACGTCCATACATTTCGTATCCTTGGATACAACCAACTAGGGGTTAGAAATGTGATTATCCCTGTGTTGAGTGGGTCTGTACTGAACACACACAGCTTTTTTTTCCTTGTCATTATTTCCTCTGCAACACAGGATAAGAACTGTTTACATAGCGCTTACGCAGTGTGGTATTATAAGTCATCTAGAGATGACTTAAAGTCTACAGAAGGATGCGTATATCCTGCATCCTACCAATATATAGCAGGGCCTTGTGCATCTGCAGATTTTGTCATCTTGTGGAGAATGCCCATCACAAATCCCCCAAAGATACTGGGGAACAACTGTACTTCAGCAAATTCAGCTCTTTCCTAGTGAGAAGAGTGTGCAAATCCACCAAGAGAGCAAAGCAGAAGATGGCTTTAAGCAACAGGCTCTGGAATCACTCAAGTCCAAGTTCTCAATTTCAGGTGCCTGTTAGACAACTGAAGACAAGGTTCTCATATTATTAGGCAGTGCTGTGGACAGAAGCATTCCAAAATATATTAAGCAAATAAAATAATGGTCATGGCAAAATTAACTAAAGATCAAGTGGGAAAAATAGAAGCACCTCCCAAAAATTTAAACTAAAATTTGATATGAAAATGAAAGTGCAGAGAGGAGACACTGTTATCAAACTAGCACGTCCAGAGTCTCTCCCAAAGTGGGCTTCCTTTGAAGAGTAAGGTCCACCAGAGATTAACAGAGGCCACTCTCCTAGGTCCTGGCCTCTGGTCTAACTCACCCAAGGGCACAGAAAGGAGCCTATGAGGCAGGTATGAGAAACATGAGAAAAGTTTGGTGCAAGTAAAATAAAAACTGAATCGCATTCAATTTCAGAGTAGATTTAAGTTTCAAATCATAGCCACCCCCTCTCATGGCCCATCTTGCCCTACTTTGGGAGGTCTCTGGAGGTTCTTTAGCTTATTCCTAACCGGCTTCCTGGAAGCCTGCTGCCTTCAGTTCTGCATTCCCCAGCCTGCTGCGGCTCCACCTAGGGGCCCATAACCTTTTTCTACTTCTTTCCAGGTTCCTCATTCTGAGGTCAAATTCTCCAGCTCCACACCCCTCCTTCAGTGACATTTTGTGCTCTTACATCTCTGTTCTTGTGGCTGTTCCAGTCACCAGCTTCCTAAAGGCCATCCACATACACCTACCACTTTCAGGTTCTCACAGCTTAATGCTTCAAAACTCATCACTAAAAACATACTGCTCATTATTTATTCTTTCCTGACTGATGAAAAGAAAAACTTGTTTTTCTTTTAGGGGCAGACAGGAGAAGAGCATATGTATGTCTATGGTCCTGAACCATTATTTTACACTGGATTGTGTTTTGGGTGAGAAGAGACAGTTGTCTTCTGTGTTAGTCCATTTTGAGTTCTTATCACAAAATACCTTAGGCTGGAAATGTTATGGAGAAAAAGGAGTCTATTTAGCTCACAGTTCTGGAGAGTCAAAAGCAAGACACCAGCAACTGCTTAGCATCTGGTAAGGATCTGCTGGTGGATGGCATCACAGGGCAAGAACTTTTACTCCACCAGTAGGTGGAGCCACAGCAGGCTGGGGAATGCAGAACTGAAGGCAGCAGGCTTCCAGGAAGCCGGTTAGGAATTGGCTAAAGAACCTCCAGAGACCTTCCGAAGTAGGGCAAGATGGGCCATGAGAGGGGGTGGCTATGATTTGAAACTTAAATCTACTCTGAAATTGAATGCGATTCAGTTTTTATTTTACTTGCACCAAACTTTTCTCATGCTTCTCATACCTGCCTCATAGGCTCCTTTCTGTGCCCTTGGGTGAGTTAGGTCAGAGGCCAGGACCTAGGAGAAGGATTCAGGGAAGGCGCCAGGCTTGCTTCTTGAGAACAACCCATCCTCAAAACAGTGCCATGAGACCTGTGCATGCTCATGCCCTTCCTAGACTGAGGCCCTCCTGTCTGCGTACCTCGGACTGGGTCCCACCTCTTAAAGTTCCGCTGCCTCACCACTGCCCCACTGGGGATCAAGTGAAGCTCAGGAACTTGTAGGGACAATGTGTATCTGAACCATGGCACAGTCTGTATCCCCCGTCCCTGACGGGCTTTGCTTGCTCTCACAGTCCCCAGTGAGCACTACTGTCCACACAGCCATCGCGCTAGGAACCAGTGAGCCTTCTCCATCCCATCTCTTCTCTTCCTCCCCCTCACCAATAACATCTACACATCACCAGTCTTGCTACTTTCACCTCCCAAATGTTTTCAAACAGATTCCCTTCCTCACCTTCAATACCACGCTGCCCAGGTTCAGGACTTCATCTTGTCTCATCTCTTCCCTCGGTTATTTCTGCAGCTCCCCACTTGCTCCTCCCACCACTGCTCCTGTCCCCCTCAACCCATCCTCCAGCATCTGCCCGTGGCACCGTCAGACATGGCAGAAAGTGCCCTCAGTCACCCTCTCCTGATCTGTCTCGAGCCACAGCCTCCGTGGTGTTTTATCTTCCGGTCATAATAGTTGGGCAGCCACCACTATGCCGTTCTTGACCTCAGCACCTGCGCCGTGCTTCCTCTCCGCCTGAATGTCCTCACCACCACTGGCCCTCCAGGCACAGCCTGTCCCCCTTGCTCTGCTCATCCTGCTGCTTTGCTCATCCACATGGGCATCGTCTGCTCTACAGAGCTCCTCAGACTCATCAGCCCCTGTTACCCTAGATCAGCCTCTCTCTTCTTCACACCGAGCTCAGCAGGGATATCCTTATCACTGCTCCCACAGATTCTATCTGCTTCATTCATTTAACCAGTTTGTGATCCACTGACAGCAGCAACATTAACACCTGATCTGATACACAGTGGAAAGTCAGTGCTGAACCGAACCCGGATCAGGAGTCCTCAGACACCTTAAAGTCCACAGAGACAAAACTATGTTCACCAAACTTACTCCCAAACTGGCTCCTGGAATGGCATTGCCTACTCACCTGAGCCAGAAACAGCTTTCTCTCTGCCCCAAATTCCTCCCCTCTGATCAGTGATAAACCCCTCGTCTACATCTGTGTCCTCTCTCCCTCCTCTCTGACTCCAGGGTCGCCACTGTACTTACATTATAATACTTTGGTTGTTCATCTTGATTGAATTGAGACGCACCTAGGAAATTAGTAAGGCACACTTCTGAGTGTGTCCGTGAGTGCGTTTCCAGAGACAAACTGCAGGTGGGTCAGCGACTGATACGGGAGACCCACCATCCAGTGGAGTGGGGGCCCACTGCAACAAAAGCAGAAGGATGCCTTCCACTGACCGCCTGCTGAACAAACTCTCCCTTTATTTCTGCCAGTGTTACTTTCTTGGTGAATCCACCCCTGATCACCCTGGCACCCAGCTTCCCTGGCTTGTTTTTCTCCGTGACATTCACCTCTTACTAGTCTATTATTGAACTTACCCATTATGTTTTGTGTCTGTCTAATGCCGCTAGAATGAAAGGAATTATATCATCTAAATGCTTTGAAAATGTTCATCTTTTTTGCCCCAGTAATTATAACAAAACAATTTAAGATGTATAGAAAAACAGAACTCTGTGAATAAAAACATGATACCTTTTTAAATGTTCAAAATGTAGTACATAGATAAAAATCATGAATGATAAATAAGACATTGAAAAACAAGAAGTAAATACATGAAAATGCCAATGAAAATGCCAACAAATTACTCTGTGTTATGAGGAATGGGTAGTTTTTTCTTTATAATTCTGACTTTAAGTGACTCATTAAAATGTAGAGTGATAAAAAAATAATAAAATAAAATGTGGAGTGGTATTCATGAGCTGAAATTTTACAGCTTTAAAAACAACCTTTTTGTGAATCAGATGTGTTGTTTCCATTCTTAAAACAATAGCATAATGAAAGGGGGAAATCAGATTATAAAAACAGCCCTACCATAGAATCAATATCTAAAATATGGAACCTCAGATTGAGAAACAAAGCAATACAAAACAAAACAAAACAAAACCAGGCCACCAGAATTCTGGCCTCTTGCATCCCCTAGTGGCCACACTCTCAAGGAGACAAAACACAAAGTTAGAATCCACTCTAGACGGGAAAGCTACACACTCTAATAAGTGTTTCTCAAAAAACAAATCTTCTTAAAAATATCAGGGAAAAGATCTCGTACGCACATAGCAACAGGGACACAAACATACGCTTTCATCCTCTTCCGTTGCCGGTGTCCTCCGCTTACCTAAAGGCCTGGAGCCATGGGGTCGGTGTTGTGTCTACACCACGGTTAGGCACCACTCACATTAAGTCTAACGGTCACATGAGGTCATCAGTGTCACATCTTCATTACATCCTCAGCCTTAGCACACCTGAGGTGACAAATCAATTCAAAAGCAGTGTTGGGGTGGAGGTGGGGGGCGCACAGAAAACTGAGTTCAGAAGTTTTAAGAATCAAAATATCACAAGTTGAAATGCTGAGGTGGTAATTTTCCACCTCTTGACTTGGGAATGATCTTAAGCTATCTTAATGCCCTTTCTAACCCAGCTTTTTTCCCAATCATTCTCCCAGAACCGTTCCTGCCACCTCACCAATGACTTCCAGGTTTCCAAATTCCAGCCTATTCCTCAGCCTTCACCCTGCGCCACCCCTCCTCGGGGTGTGACAACCATGAACACGCCCTCCTCATCCTCCATTTGCCCTGAGCTCCCGAGCTCCCTGTCCATGGCTCACCTTCCTGCCAGCAGGTTCACCTGAGGCCTAAAAACACAGCATCTGAAGCAGGAGGACAAACGGGAAGACCAAGTAAAGCAGTCCCACAATTACCCAGCTCTTCTATGTGCCAGGCAAGGGCCGGCCGTGCTGCTCAAGTTGTCACACTCCGGCTGCGCAGCTGTGCCTCCTCTGTCTCCAGCATTATGGACGCCATAGCTGGACAGGAT